ACAGATAACATAAAAGGTAGCAAACAACACATGTAACAGAGTTTACATCGTACAAGGAACTGTACCAGGATATACATAACAAGCTGAACATTGATTCATCTCAATACAATATGGTACTGAGATATCAATATGGCGAGAATTTGCCATATTCAATTCCACCCTTAAATGTTACATCTGATATTGACGTAAATTATCTGTATGACTTGAACAAAGTGCAACGGTCACCGATTTTCGTGACTTTAGTGAGGAAGGAAGACGAAAAAGGTAGACATGAACATTCGGATGAACATGATAGTAATGCAAATGATATTTGGGATACATTGGAAATAGCTCGCGATGATGACATTGATATTCCCGAGACAATTGTTGTTCACCGTGATACCGCTGCGACGCACATATTTCAATCGGCAGTTCAGGACAGCGATGCAAATGAATTTACAAATGAGGATTTAATTGCTTTATCTCGTCAGAGACATGAGCTGGGTGGGAGCTCAGGGGCCGGAACGAGCGGACCTTCANTCAGAGATATGAGCTTGATCAGAGCACAGGGAACGGAACGAGCGGACCTTCATCTAATTCTTCACGTGTGGTTCCGAATGATGAAGATCTGTATGTTGGGCAACTGTTTGAAATGAAAAAAAATCTGCAGGAAGCTATGCACCTGCTGGCATTAAAATACAATTTTGAGTTCAACGTAAAGAAATCAAACAAATTCTTATTGACACTTGTTTACGCCGACAACAGTTATCGTTGGTGGTTGCTTGCGACTAAGATGGACACGAATGAGAATTTTATAGTTCACAAGTATACACGGTAACATACTTGCGAGTTGGGGATTTGTCAAAACAATCACAGGCAAGCTCGATCATGGTTTATTAGTCGATAGATAATGCATAAGTATCAGGACTAACAAACGATCTACAGACCTTTAGATATCATTAGCGANGTATCAGGACCCACGGACGATCTACAGACCTTCAGATATCATTAACGACATCCGACGAGAGTAAGGAGTGGTCATGAGCTACCATAAGGCCTGGAGAGCCAAAGAATGAGCGTTGGAGGATTTAATAGGCTCGACCGAGGAGAGTTATGCTAAATTGGCCAGATATTGCCATAATTTGGGGACAACTAATCACAATTCCACTTATTCCATTGAGACAGAGGGCGATAATTACTTTAAGTATTTATTCATAACTCTTTAACAATGCATTAGATGATTTAAAAATGCGATGCGACCGGTAATTTTAGTCGACGGTACAACTCTAAAATTGAGATACGGGGGCAAGCTGATTATCACTACATGTTAAGATCCTAACATCCAAATTTACCCAATTGCATTCGACGTAGTCGACGGTGAGAATGATTTGTCAATGCATTGGTTCTTTATGAAACTTAGGGAAGTGATCGGAGAAATCGATGATCTTGTCTTTGTAACTGATCGGGGTCAGTTTCTAATAAATATTATTGCTGAAGTTTTCCCCGAAGCACATCATGGGTACTGCATGTACCACATACATGGTAATCTCAAGACTAGATACCAGGGCCAAGCCATTGTATCATTATTCAGGAGGGCGGCTGAAGCTTACAGTGTCGAGGAATGTAATAAGTTTATGATCGAGATATGAAATAAGTCATTGTCGGCATGTGATTATC